GTCGGGGCAAGGGCTCGTCTCTCTTCTGGCCTGGGCTCTATGTACTCTTTCAAATGTCCGTCTCGGACCAAGCTTTCCAAGAACGATTTGAACACCCTGCAGCTTTCGGTGCGATGCCCAATATCCCGGTGATAGGAACACCTAACCCTTTGATCTCGGGTGGAGGGGTCGCCCTGCATTCTGGGCGGCCATTTGAAAAATGGCTCGTGCTTGAATTTATGGAGCAACTTGAAGATGGGTTCCTTGAAAACAGTGTGAACTCCTCTGGACGAACCCCCTGGATGGGGTAGCAATCCCTTTCAGGGAATATCTTCGCGCTCCTTCTCCTTTCTCTTAGACTGGAGAGCTCGGCCTTTGTTGCTTCCCATCTCGTCCTCGACCCTCAAGTACTTGTTGATCCGGGCCATCAGTTCCCCCATATCCGAGGGAGTCTTCTTGGTCAGGGATCGGTACAGGTCCGTGTCCCTCGCCAAGCCGAGCCGGAAGGATGCTGCTGCCATGACCTCCGAGCATCCCTCGACCTCATTGACTTCTTCCCAGTATCGGATGGCGTACTGGCGAAGAGTCTCGGATTCCCTCCTCCTGAGGGTCAGCAGTGATCCAATGTCCTTTGGGCGCTTACTCCCCGTGATGAATCGGGTTAGGAACTGCCTTGTCAATTCTTTCCAGGACCCAATACTGTTTGGGGGAAGCGCCTCGAACCACCTCATCGCGGAGTCCCCCAAGCTCATAGGGAACACCCGGCATAGAAACCGTTGGTCCGAATGATAGAGGGACATCATCTGCTTGTATTGCCTGATATGGGCTTCGGGGTCGGACCGCCCGTCATAGGTTTTGAACCGTGGCACGACGAACTTTCTTGAGACCTCCATCTCACTGATTTCCCTCGTGAAGGGTGTTTGTATGACTTCGTCTTCGGCCTCATCCTGGACAGTCTTACCCTTTCTCCTGGAGTCTAATCGGGCTCTAAGATCGACTTCTTCCCTGACGGGATGCCTTCTGAAGTCCCTGAGTTCATTGGTAAGCCCCTCATTTCCTGGGCGTCGTGTGGATTGGGTTGAGTCCTCCTCGGATTCATCTCCCTTCCTCCGTCTAGACAAACCTCGCCGGAGGTCGTCCAGGGCCAATGGCCTTGCTTTCCTTGAATGGTTGTCATGATGATGCTCGCCGGCTCTGGGTCGCTTTGGGGCCCTAGAGCTTTCTGCTTTGTTGTTTAGGTGGTTTCTTAGATCCTTCGTTTCTGCCTCCCGGGCGGGAAGCCCACGAGAAAGGAATGAATCCCTCGATCCTTCGCCAGAGGCGGCAAACTCGTTGAGCCGGCTTAGGACGTTTACATTGTCCTTTTCCAGCTGACGTAATCTATCGCCAAATTTTTCTTCAATCACCTCCGCCAGCTGACGAGCCAAGGGGGCTGATCCCCCTGACCTGATTCCCATACTGGTTTGAGGGGTAACCCCTCTTGACCGAGTAGAGGCACTTTTATTCATATCGGTGTGATCCCTTCCTCCGTGATGACAGGGAGCTTGTAACTCGAGACTCCTTTGGTGGGGGCCTTTCCCTTTCTGTCGAGTGTTCACCATGGTCACTGTTCTTTATAGAGAAAAAACTAGGAAAACTAGTCGTTTCCCACAGACGGCGCCAGATTGTGCGTGCAAGATCCTGCACAATATAAAAAACGAGAACAGATCTCTCCCTTGGTGAACTCGAGTGAGCCAGTTGAGTGACCAACCACGCTGCTTGGAACAGCCTGCGAGGTCCGGTGGTAACCTGGAACGGCAACGGGAGACCCTGGGTGAGCGGGAGAACGATCCAGTAAGGCTGAAAGAGGATCCTGGAACAAAGAAGAACAAGTTAGAAGGGCGCCGGAGTGTTTTTCAGCGTATCCCCTCCGACGATCTAGTCAGTCTCTGAGAGAGAGAGAGGATAGAGAAAACACTGAGTGTGTATTGTAGTAGAGAGTTTGTTGTTGGATATCCGCTTTGCCTTTTGCAAGGAGTATTTATACCTTAAAAGCTCATGATTGTTGTCAGTGTCGTCAGTAGGTGATCATTAGGCACAGGTACCGTGTGCATTGATTCTGATGAGGAATGTCTTCTCTAATTAACTGCTCGGGGTTCCGAGCAATCAATGCTGGATCATCGGAATGCCGACGGTACAATGTGCTCCTCTCGGGGAGGATGCAATAAATGCTCTGTAACAGGAGCATTTATTGCCTTTCATTTTCGAGCCTTACCGCATTGAATGCGGTCTCATCAAGGGAATGGTGCAATTAATTGTTTGCTTTCCCAAAGCGTGTGTCAGCAACAACATGCAGTTTGTCTGTCTTTGATGTGATATCATATGCCACGCGTCCATCCCCTATTGGCTGTGACCTCTGTATTCCAGTATGTTCTGACATTACTTGTGTAAGACGAGGTCATGATGAATAGCCCAGATTAGCCTAAACTAATGACCTGTACGTCAATAGCTTATCCTGGAGTAGAGGAAGCGTCCAGGATGGGGGTACCTCTCGGCACCGAGGAAATGCTCATCTCGGGGACCGAGGGTGGTATGCCGACCAAGGTACATATCAGACCGAGGCCACGTGTCGGTTGTAAAATATACTGAATGTATGATCCTATACGCCAGTACCTCGGGGGCGAGGACATTCGTGCGCCGATGGTGCTTGATCTTAACAAGTGTTTTAGTAAAACCGAGGACACGTGTCTTCATCATAGGATATTTCAGAAAAGTCTCATCACTAACTATTAAATCATTGATCCGATTTTTATGTTGATTTGATATTCAGTCCGATTCTAATAATTATACCCAAGATAATGAATATCTACGATTAATTAAAGATTGATTACATATATAAAATATTTATTTAATATCCTGAGTTTAATATGACCTATTTTAAAAACATTTTTTTGTAATAAAAAATTTGTATAAGTAATGGCGAATATTAATGGACATTTGATTCAATAATATTCTTTATCTTATAAAAATTTTATTTTTTTGAAGTAAACAGTATAAGAATTAAACACCCTCAATAAAAACAAAAAAGTAATGGCGAGTACCCTTCCTAAATTGACACTCACAAGCAAGCCTCTCCTGATCAGCAGTCTATTGTATTATAGTAATGCTACATGGATTTAAAAAATAAATTTAATAATCTTAATTATTAATTTTACTATGAGTTCTAGCATTTATTAGAATCCATTACTTATTCGATGGTTAAAATTATCAAGTTTAATTTTTAATTTTATCTAGCCTTACTTATTGTATTATATTATATTGAACACTCCTTCGGACAAGACAACGACAGCCAATCAACTCAATACCTCGTAATCTTACCCGATTTTGAAAACTTTCTCTGCAAAATCCACTCTCTCTCTCCTCCAGTTCTCTATCCCCATGGAGACCTTAACCCGAGACCAGTACATCTACATGGCGAAACTCGCCGAGCAAGCCGAGCGCTACGAAGAGATGGTCAAATTCATGGGCAAACTCGTCGTCGGCACGGCGTCCACCGGCGCCGAACTCACCGTTGAGGAACGGAACCTATTATCTGTGGCGTACAAGAACGTCATCGGCTCTCTCCGAGCGGCGTGGCGGATTGTGTCGTCCATCGAGCAGAAAGAGGAAGGCCGCAAGAACGACGACCATGTGGCGCTAGTCAAGGACTACAGATCGAAGGTATTAAATCACCAACTCATAAAAAAGTTTGAATTGATTTAGAAGTGTACCATAAATATTTATTTAATATTTTTTACGCCTAGAGTCATCTTGAGTTGAGCGGTATGAGTATGGTTATAGGTAAACTTATCATTAGTGTCGGATAAAACGCGTTCATGTTGCATCTGTAACGGTTCATGTTAAAATACACTCCACTCTGATTTGTTTATTAATTTATCTTTAACTAATCATATTATATTATATTTATATTGTGTATACACAATTCGTATTATACATTTTTTTTGATTTACTTAATTTATTTGTTAATCATCCCGTGTCGTGATGGGTCTTTTCGTTTATGAAACGGGTGTTTAAGAAAGTCTTAAAACTTCTAATTTTGTGACATCGTATTAATGAGCCGTATCATATTTTGATACCCCTTGTGATGGGCATATACTTAGTTGACATCCTACAATGGATCATGATTCCCTCTGTAACTCTAATTCGAATTACTTTGATTCATATATAGAATTATACACATAGTTAANTATACTTAGTTGACATCCTACAATGGATCATGATTCCCTCTGTAACTCTAATTCGAATTACTTTGATTCATATATAGAATTATACACATAGTTAATTAAGAGTTATGATAAGAATTACAAAACACATCATAATTCAAAATAAAGAATTTTATAACCATCGTAAATAATAGAAGCTAATGGTAGCACATTTGTACAACAAAATTAAATCACAATGAATTAAACATATTTAAAAATTATGAAAATAAAGAAATACCCATTTTCTGTTGTAATTTGGAGTTAAGTTTCGAATTTGAAATTATCTTGATTACAAGTTAGTTAAGGATTGGAGCAGGGGCGGAGCCAGGAATTGTTGATAGTGGGGGTAACCTAGAACTAAGTGATAAGTTGAAATTATAATATTAACATTATTTCTTTAAATATTAATTTTGTTGTAAGGAATTTATNTTAAGGATTGGAGCAGGGGCGGAGCCAGGAATTGTTGATAGTGGGGGTAACCTAGAACTAAGTGATAAGTTGAAATTATAATATTAACATTATTTCTTTAAATATTAATTTTGTTGTAAGGAATTTATCCGTAATTGATTCAAAATTAACATGTTTGGTTTGACTCAAATTCAGTAGTTTTTTTTTTTTTGTTACATAAACCCAATAATTTATCATTCAATTTTTAGCAAACAACTTCTAAGGATTAGTAATATTCATTTAATTGAACAAACTTAGTGGAAATAATTTAGAAAAAAATCTATTTATCACAAGTTGACTCAAATACTAGAATACTTTAATTGATCACTGTCAAATTGTCAATGTTCAATTGCTCCAAACAATTTAATTGAAAATATAGGAGCATCTCCAAGAGATGAGGTAAAGTGCACAAAAAATTTAAATTTTAGCTATTTTACCCTAAAATTTTAGTCTTANTGATCACTGTCAAATTGTCAATGTTCAATTGCTCCAAACAATTTAATTGAAAATATAAGAGCATCTCCAAGAGATGAGGTAAAGTGCACAAAAAATTAAATTTTAGCTATTTTACCCTAAAATTTTAGTCTTATAGAACATCTCCGAAGCAGCNAATGTTCAATTGCTCCAAACAATTTAATTGAAAATATAGGAGCATCTCCAAGAGATGAGGTAAAGTGCACAAAAAATTTAAATTTTAGCTATTTTACCCTAAAATTTTAGTCTTATAAAATAGCATTTGCTACAGTGGCACTCTATAGAGTGCCACTGCAGCAACATGTATAAATACTTTAAAATATTTCCTTTCTCCTCCTTTCCTTTCCTCTATTAGCTCCCTTTCTGTTTCTCACTAATCCAAAAAAAATAAAAAATAAAAAAAGAATGAGAAATAATATTTAAAGGAAATAATTAAAAATATAGAAAATATGTTGGAGTGTGTATTAAAAAAGTGAGTAGTTAAAATAGAAATGTTATTTTATAGTACAATTAAATTAAAAAAATATTTAAAATAATTTGAATTTATAATGCTTTCATCAATTTTGATATTAGGATTTTAAAGTTCAAACCCCAATTTAAAAGTTCGATTTCACATATCAAGATCTAATTTCAATTCAAATTTAACAAAAATAATGGAAAGAATGAGACAAAAAGGAACTAGAAAAATAGAGCACCGACCAAGAAAGCAAATTAAAGAGAATGACCGATTAATAATCACTAAAACTCATTGAAATAAGAACCAACCAGGCATAGTCTTACTGCCCACTCTTGATTCGTAGGAGGTGGATGGGTCAATCCTTGCCAATGGTCAGGATTGATTTCTTATAGGGTGTTTTCTCATTTATTATTGATGCGTTATTCAAATGATGTAATCGTTAATTATTTATGTTGTAATAGCGATTTATTAATGTTTATCAAAAAAATTCATTGTAACAATCCTTATTTGAGTTGTATGAGGAAAGTGTAAGTCTAATTTTTCTATTTTATGAAAGAATAAAACTTGTTTTTTAATATATAAACTATCAATAATATTATGTGCATTTAATATGGAAACTTAATTTGGAGATCTAATCCATTGTTGTCATTGGATTTGAATGGATCTTACTAAATGTTGGGATCCACTACTAATTAAATGATACTAATAATTTAAGTCTCAAAATTAGATCTCAATAGTGTTAAACATAATTTTTTATAAAAAATTAGTGGGGGGGCAAATTACAATTTTTTTTAAAAAAATTACAAATAAAACCCAATTTTTTTGAAAATTGCAGCCTCATTCTGAANGGGATCCACTACTAATTAAATGATACTAATAATTTAAGTCTCAAAATTAGATCTCAACAGTGTTAAACATAATTTTTTATAAAAAATTAGTGGGGGGCAAATTACAATTTTTAAAAAAAAAATTACAAATAAAACCCGAAATTTTTGAAAATTGCAGCCTCATTCTGAATCCAGTCCAAGATTTGAGTTATAATTTGGGGTAGGGAAATTTGGCGACCTAGATGGTGAATCAACCGGTTTCAAAATGTGCGACATTGGTTCATGGGACACTTTTTTTTTCTCCTTGTGTACTAAGGAAAGAAGTGCAACATGATTTGAAAATCAAGACTTCTACTTTATGATATCATATGGAATTAACAACTTATATAAAAGTTTATGCTAATAAAAAAGAGTGTAACATAAATATTTATTTAATACAAGGTCGAGTCAGAGCTCTCGGATNTTTCTCCTTGTGTACTAAGGAAAGAAGTGCAACATGATTTGAAAATCAAGACTTCTACTTTATGATATCATATGGAATTAACAACTTATAGAAAAGTTTATGCTAATAAAAAAGAGTGTAACATAAATATTTATTTAATACAAGGTCGAGTCAGAGCTCTCGGATGTGTGTGCTGGGATTCTGAAACTTCTGGATGAGTTTCTGATTCCGTCGGCGGTGGCCAGTGAGTCTAAGGTTTTTTACTTGAAGATGAAAGGAGATTATTATCGGTATCTTGCGGAATTCAAAGTCGGAACCGAGAGGAAGGAGGCTGCTGAAGATACTATGCTTGCCTACAAAGCTGCTCAGGTACGTATATGTACAATTACACATACATATATAAATTTTTCTCTCTCTCTCCCTCTCTATATGTATGTATAGGTCTGTGGACATGTGTTTATATGAATCTTGATGTTTTGACTGCATAGAGTTTTGTTGTACATTGTCAGTGGTTGTTTGTGATTGGGATGGAGAGATTGTCAGAAAGACTTCAATGTGGTGATATGTGGCTCTCTCTGAGTTTGTAAGTCAATTAACTTGATGAAGTAATGATTATGAGATGAGGGATGGCAAAATTGAGGTTTTTAAGTTAGATTGGGGGTTTTAAGGTCATAGTTGGCTTTTGGGAATATGAAAAATCAAGAATTAATTGGGGATTCTGAGCCTAACGATGTATTATGTGGTTATATCATATATGATTGTGTGTGCATTCACAAGTTCACTGAGCTGCAGAGTTGAGCACATAGATCTTCGACTTGTACGGAAACGGGGTTTTTTTCTAATTGAATTGAAAAAAAATTGTAATTTTTTAACAAGATTATTTTTCGGAGACCCAAACTAGTGTAAGAAGTGTTAGTCATCACCTGAAGTGAGGTATTATTGTGTATGAGACTGTGCTATGATGTTTATAAGAATTATCATAGTTGTTTGTAAGGTTCATGACAAAGAGGATGATTTAATGATGTAATCTAGTGGATACTGAAATTGGATGTTTGAGCAATGAAAATAGGCTTTAGTTCAAGTATAGATTAGTATTCTCCCAGTTCCATTGATTGCCAATTTTTTACCCTTTTCAATGTAAGAACTTTGTTCGGCTCCATGACTATAATTTTATAAACAATACTGGATAATCATCTCTGCTGCTTTGAAGCCATTCATATATCTTCTATCATACCCTTCTTTGAGAGCGTATAAGGGGAAAAGAGCTTTTGCATTGTTAGCCACTTCTCAGCAGTTCCAGCCTGGGTTATTATTGACCATCACCTGGCTTGCCCTGCTTCTTCTGCTCAGATGTTTTAATGTCTGGATCTCTCTCTCAGACACACACATACACACACATTTGACTATTTAGAGGTTGTTCTTGCATGTGGGAATTGCATTGGGGGAAGACAATGGTGCTTTCCTTTTTGGTGGGTATAACAATCACCTCCGGTGATATCATCCACGAATGATTAAAACCACGTGAAGTGCTATTGACAACCATTTCTATTCATTTCTTGTCATACAGGATATTGCTCTTGTCAATCTTGCTCCAACACATCCTATAAGGTTGGGGTTAGCACTCAACTTCTCAGTTTTCTACTTTGAGATTCTTAATGCATCAGAGAAAGCTTGTAGCATGGCAAAACAGGTCTGCTCATACTTTCTGCTCTTAAACACATGCTTATATGTTTCTTTCTTTCTTCTTAAGATCTCTATGAAAGAGAAAATAATTGTCCTTTGCTAGCCAATGAGGAAATAGAAGAACTAACAAAGGCAAGGGATGAAAACAATATTGAATAAAGGAATTCGTGTTTACTGCTATATAGCCGATAACATCCATTGTAGCAACCAAAGGACGCAAGCAAAAAACACAAAGCAACAGTGGATGTAACCATAAAACATTATTCAGTTGGACTCGTGCCCATCAAAAGTTATGTAAAGTTGTAAATGATAGGTTATAACTTATATATCACGTGTCATGTCACGTGTAAGATTAAAACCTCCTATTTCAAGTGAAATTGCATTTCATAAGTGGGAAGAACAGAAACAAGTTCCGGTTGCCAACCTATGTATATTAAATGCAAATCAAGAAACCATTCTATAGTTGAACCTAAATTAGCCATCAAACGAAATAAAGTATGTTTCATTTTGCGCCTTCTTGCTCTGTGGTGCCCCTGAATCTATGTTATAAGGTGGAGGTAAAACAAAAACAAATGTCAACATTGTTAATACACAAATCACACATTTATAGCTATGTCCTCATGCATTGCCAGACAACCATTTTTCATAATGATAAGTGATGTAGATTATATCTTATTCATACTGTTGTGCCTGGGCTCATATCATTTATGTTTATTTGTAGGCCTTTGAAGAAGCAATTGCAGAGCTGGACACTTTGGGGGAGGAGTCCTACAAGGATAGCACTCTCATAATGCAACTCCTGAGGGACAATCTCACTCTTTGGACTTCGGATATGCAGGTAGATAGTTATTCTAATTAGGTGGCATTTGCTTGATTATGTAGGGCCTTTTTTTTACACATATTCTTTAGGATAGTAATACACATAAAAGCATATACTTCTAGAAAATTGATACATTGGATAGATCCTGGAACTGTCTATGAAATGCTATTAGAATCTGAATTTGCAGTATGAAAGTTTTCTCCCTAAAAGTAATCAATAGTGATTTTATTAACTCTATTCATGTGCTTTAGTTGCCAATCAGTGTTTGAGCAGAGAAGAAAGTGTTGGAATTGTTACATCTTCTTGTCCTAAAAAAATGGCCAACATCCCATTATTTTCTGTGGAATGCATAATCTAGTCATTTTTTCATGCTAATTTTTGAGGAATGGACCTTGGTGCATCGGAAAGGTGGTTACCTGGGCATCAAGGTTTTGAATTGCAAAAATAGCCTCTCAGCATGCTATCTGTTAAGGTTAAGTACATCTAACCCTCTTTAGACTTCGCCTCTGCAGTGGCGGGAGTCTCTTGCACTAGACCTCTCTTTCTAGTCTTTGTATTTTCCCTTTAGCTTTGGGCCTTTGTTTGTCATGTGAGCCCATAGTATTNAGCCTCTCAGCATGCTATCTGTTAAGGTTAAGTACATCTAACCCTCTTTAGACTTCGTCTCTGCAGTGGCGGGAGTCTCTTGCACTAGACCTCTCTTTCTAGTCTTTGTATTTTCCCTTTAGCTTTGGGCCTTTGTTTTGTCATGTGAGCCCATAGTATCTGTAAATGGAATTGGCATAGCTTCTGAACCCATGCCAGTCTGAACGCATTTAACTAAGCTGTACCTCTGTTGGGGTTCATGCAGGAGCAAATAGATGAGGCTTGAGCTGCTGGATCAATCTGCTCCTTGATGGAAGTGGGGCTTCAATGTCATAACTTGTCTATAATCTGTATGTGTAAAAGTTTTATAACATGTAATTATATTATTGATACTTAAATTTGGTATGGGAATTCTAATGATTTCAGTGGTTTCCTGGTGGCATCAACCAGTCCAACAATTTCCTCTTCCAAACAATAAAGCTTTGAACATGAGGTCATGAATCTGTAAAGAAGCCATCTTCCTTTTGACAAATTGACCATGAGGTCATGAAACTGAAAATAGCCTCCTCATTCTCTCCATGATCTGCATTCTAGTGAAATTTTCAATCTATTTTTTTGAATGGGTAAACTGATTTTCTGCCCAAATTTCAGCAGTTAGCCCTACAATTCGACGTGAAAGTCATCTAAAATTTATAAAAATAACCGAAAGTACCTTTTTTTTTTCTTTCCAAAGGTCATTACGGGTGTCAAGGAGGGAGAACAGATTTATGGGGTGAGACTAAACCAACATTGCACATGCCGGAAGAGGGTTCCAGTTCACGGGCCTACTGCCCTGGCAAACAAATCGGATGATACTGATCTATTGAATTGGTGTTGTTTGGTTGTCTAGGAGAAATGCTTGAACCCTCTCATTGATTTCATAATGCATTAGCCATTTCTGATTCAAAATTCTCTTAATTGATCCCTGCATGAGGAATTACCAAAACATTTGACTCTTTGCCAATTCTAATATAATGGATTAGTCAGTCAAATAATACATAGTAAATGAGTTGTTTGAAAATAACTGATTATATTTGTGGTGTAAGTGCACTCTATTTTATATTCTTTATGCCCCCACCTCTCTCCAATGGGGAAGATAAATGAGCTAATATACAGATGAGTGAAAGTCACATACACTATCACAATTAACTCCCAGACCATTTGGCTTGGTCATGGGACAATTTCTTAATATGCTTAATTAGAAATTGTTTGTTAAGAAGGNACATACACTATCACAATTAACTCCCAGACCATTTGGCTTGGTCATGGGACAATTTCTTAATATGCTTAATTAGAAATTGTTTGTTAAGAAGGGTGTGAGGATTGCGAAGTGCTATTCTGATTTAGCAAGATTCACTACTGAGACAATAGCCAAAACTTTTACATCACTAGACACATAGACTATGAGGTCCTAGGCACTAAAAAAATATCATTTCTTTTTCTCTACCAATAAGAACAAGATACGTGGTAGCAAAGTAATTTTGCTTTTAAGCCACGAATAAACCAAAGCAACAACTACGGTTAAAGTTCAATATTTGTTTTGGAATCGAAAAATATTTTGGGATACCATAACTTTATCCTAGAGCTATAATACTAAATTGTTTTCTCCTTAAGGGTTTGGAATTTACAATTAGCAAGTGTTAGCAAAGGAGGGAGACAAATGAAGCCAATGTAGGTACACCAAAAGATTTCAATTTTATATATATATATATAATTCATCAGTGCTTAGCGTAGAGAAGCAAAAGCTATATATGGCTGATATTCTTAGAGCAATGCCATGCACACTAAATTTGTACACTAAATCATTGTCAGCTGTTGGATCAGTGGAGCCCACTATCATCCAACAGTTGACAATAATTTGATGCACACTCTTGGTGCATATAGAATTNTATAATTCATCAGTGCTTAGCGTAGAGAAGCAAAAGCTATATATGGCTGATATTCTTAGAGCAATGCCATGCACACTAAATTTGTACACTAAATCATTGTCAGCTGTTGGGTCAGTGGAGCCCACTATCATCCAACAGTTGACAATAATTTGATGCACACTTTTGGTGCATATAGANACACTAAATCATTGTCAGCTGTTGGATCAGTGGAGCCCACTATCATCCAACAGTTGACAATAATTTGATGCACACTCTTGGTGCATATAGAATTATTATCCGATGTTTTGAATATTTGTGATGTCGAGGAATAGTGTTGTAGATTGAAAAAGAGAGATTTTTAGAGAGAGAAAATGGGATGTGAGGAGGGATTGAAGGGCACTCTTCAAGAGCTCAAATCAAAGAAGCATATAAAAGACTCAGCTTTGACCACCCTTTCATGCGCATGCATATCCAAGAAGGGCATTTTCCAACAAAAATTGTCACAACTACGTATTTATTGAATTCATAGTTGCAACGGAAACATAAGATGTCTCATAAGAGTTTCCCAAAAACATGCATCGATTGAACTTAGATTTGTCCGTGTGTGCACCCACCAAAACCATCTCTTACATGAAGTGAGCAGCGAAGGCTGCCATTGAAGTTTGTAACTACACGTGATTTGCCATGATTAATATATATATATATATATATTAGTTGATACACGCACGTGCATTATACCTGCGCGTTACACTTGCATTAACCTATCCTTTTTTTTTCCTCCTTTTTTGTTTTGGTGTTTGGTGCAAAATATTAAGTACTAGTGTCACCACTATGGTATAAACTTTGCCTGATATTTTCATGAACCTTAAGGCCCAAATTAGGATTGGCAAAATTCTTAAAAAGATTTGTTCATTGGATACAGAATCAACACAAAGTTGCTGTGCACAAATAAGATTAGTCTTTAATGGGTCTTGTCATGCTAAGGTTGGCGTATTTAATAAACGAGTGGATATAAATATCTTCCGACCCAATTATATGCGACTTAGAAACCGGTTGTTAGCACTAATTCCAAACTTTGATGTACTATGCCTCCCTCCCTTTCCTTCTCCCTTTCACCGCAAATTCACTATAATTGGGAACAAGTATAATCCCACTCATGTGAACAAATAAGTATCAAAGTAAATGACTTTTTTATCCTAAATTTTTTTTCTATGTACTTTTTTATAATTTCAATTTGGTGTATCCCTTCTAATTTTTCCATTCAAATTTAAGCAAAATCAAGTTAAAAAAAATCTTCTAAATAATCTTAAAAGAATTCATATAATATTAGTCAATATAAATAAATAAATCATATTTTCGCATATAATACCAGTAAAATGGGAATCACATATCAAAATTGAATTATTTAATTTTGAACTCTGATTTGAATTTTTTAATATTTGTATTATTAAATCGTATCATTTCATACTTATATCAAATAACAGTCGTGCTTAATTTCTAATTTCCTACTAATTATGTTTTTTTTAAAAATCCTATTAATCTGCCAAAAAATGTCAATGAAAAAGACAGGTATTAAGTCATATAATCCGCAATAAAGTAGTAAGGGTTGGACTCATTTACAATCGTATGAGATTTATGCAATTTCATAATCATGTTCTCTTTTCGTTATTTTTTTTTTCAGTTAATTCTCTTCATTACTTTATCATTTGAAAATATTCAAACTACCTTTTAATTAAAGTAGTAACAATGAGTTACAGCTTCGNAGTTTTTTTTTAAAAATCCTATTAATCTGCCAAAAAATGTCAATGAAAAAGACAGGTATTAAGTCATATAATCCGCAATAAAGTGGATAAGGGTTGGACTCATTTACAATCGTATGAGATTTATGCAATTTCATAATCATGTTCTCTTTTCGTTATTTTTTTTTTCAGTTAAGTCTCTTCATTACTTTATCATTTGAAAATATTCAAACTACCTTTTAATTAAAGTAGTAACAATGAGTTACAGCTTCGTTGTGCTATAACTCAAAATTATAAACAAAAATCTAGTGCGTTACAATAGAAAAAGAAAAGGAAAAAAAACAAAAAGAAAGAATAAGTAAATGAGTGAGACATATTGAAAATCATGACAAACATTTGTAGGTTAGTGAAAAACAAACATAGATCCACTAGATCACAATTTAGTGGAAGTTCATTCACAACACAATTTACTATCATTCATATTTTTTTAATTCAATAGTTATGAGTATTCAAACCAGTTTACGTGTATCCTGATTAATTTCTTCCTCAGTCTGGTCAAAGTCAAATCATCTATGTCAGGACTAAGGTATTTATGAGGGATAAATATTTCATAACCTAACTCCAATGAGTTACACAAATTCAAATTTAGGACNTTGTAGGTTAGTGAAAAACAAACATAGATCCACTAGATCACAATTTAGTGGAAGTTCATTCACAACACAATTTACTATCATTCATATTTTTTTAATTCAATAGTTATGAGTATTCAAACCAGTTTACGTGTATCCTGATTAATTTCTTCCTCAGTCCGGTTAAAGTCAAATCATTTATGTCAGGACTAAGGTATTCATGAGGGATAAATATTTCATAACCTAACTCCAATGAGTTACACAAATTCAAATTTAGGAGGTCTTTTTATGTACAAAAAAATGACTCAAAGAGTGTAAGACATAATTTTGTTTTGNAAATTTAGGAGGTCTTTTTATGTACAAAAAAATGACTCAAAGAGTGTAAGACATAATTTTGTTTTGAGATTTTTATAGTCATAGAGTATGAAAATAATAAAAGTAAAAAAAATTATAAATTTTTATAAGTGTTATTTTGCAATTGGCCAAAAACATATAATATGGTATTGAAGTCTAATCCTCATCCATAAGTTCAACAATTTAATATGAAATATTTCCCAATTAATTAGAATCATAATTTCAGCATCACTCGCACTCACCCACTCTGGTCAGTTCGCTCTCCTTTGACTACCCCACCAACCTTCCCAAATTACAGAGTCCTCTCTGGCCTCAATGTAGGTTGTCTAGAAATAGAAAATAAAAAATAGAATTGTTTCTCTAGCAAAAATAGAAAATAATAGAAATGTTTTATTTGTTTTCTAAAATATAGTTTCATTTCTTCATATACTTTCGTAAAATATTCATCACAACGGAGATATTATGTCATCGATATTATATGGTATCATTAATTAATAAAAGTATACCATGTAAAAAAAGTGTATTCCACTATTCTAAGATGTTAGTTAATCAATAGAATGATTACGAGAAATTACTAAAATAGTGAGTTTCAATAGAGTGATTACGAGAAGTTACTAAAATAGTGAGTTTTACTTATTTTACGTGAATGTATTCTTATTCATTAATGATACTATACAATAATCATGACACGATAATGATGAGTGTATTTTCGTCTCCACACTGCACTCATATATTTTTGGTTTTTATTTTGTTTTTTTTTTTTTTCTTTACTTTCTTTTTCCGTATCTAAGAATCCACGGGTCACGGCCTTCTCTCCTTCAATCTCTGTCTAACCGTCTTACCCTAATCACAAATGTCCATTTCCTACATAAAGCTCTTCTCTTTGCAACAGTATCACCAACCCCACCTCGCTCTCTCTTCTATCTCTACACACACTCTCTGTCTAGGCCTTGTTTCACACATATAAATCTTCCAGAGCCATTGTAAATCAAAATGCTGACCTTTACATGCAAGAATCTGTTATAATCTTCTTCACCAATCTCATTGTCATAAGATTTTGGTAGGGGTTTACAGAGCACATTGAGGTTTGTTTCAATGGCAGACCATAGTTTTGTCTCTGAAGCCTCAAACCTTTTATGTACAGAAAGTGAAAACTTGTGTTTTGACGATCTTGATTCTGTAGCCACAGATAACCAAACCCATCAAACCAACTATCAAAACTTGGACTTTACCAATGCTAGATCAGACCCATTGATTGTTTTGCCATCTTTAAGTGAAGAGAGTTTTGGTTTGATGGTTGAGAGAGAAAAAGAGCATTTGCCCAAAGATGATTATCTCAAGAGATTGAGAAGTGGGGAGTTGGATTTGAGTGTGAGAAGAGAGGCACTTGAATGGATTTTGAAGGTGGGTTGATTAGTTTTCTCAAACGGATTTATTGGTTGTGCTTGTTAAATCAATTCTTAATGGATTTTCTTTGGTTATATTGCCTTTTTCACAAATTTTTGTGCTAGTAGATAATGTTTGGGCAAATGGGTCTTAGATTTCATCCCTCATTGATCAACATTGTTTTTGGTTTAGATTCGTCACAATCTCTGTCCTTTGGTAAATGCTGTTTTTTTTAACTTAAAATGGTTTAAAAGAACAGGTTTGATTTTCTCATTGAGTTTCAATTCATTTCTCAATCTGGGTTTTTCCCCTCTTGGTGAGTTTTTCCTTTTCATGATTAATTCAGTTAGTATTAAATGGTAGGCATGTTGAGATGATGATGGATTGATAGTATTCATATTTATCTTTTGAACTTATCTTTAGTTACTTCTCTTTTGACTAGTTGCTGCCTTGCTGAGGCATCTGGGTTGCTTTCTTAAATTGGATTCTGTTTTTCCTTTTTATGTTTTCCCATGCATTTCTTTGTGATTTATGCTCAATGGTTTCCTCAAATTTTTTTTTTTTGGTTGAAATTGTCTTATAAAGTAGTTGCCTTCATTAATTCTAATATTGCTTTCATGTTGTGTGCTCAACAGGCTCATGCTCATTACAGTTTTGGAGCATTAAGTTTTTGTCTGTCCATGAATTACTTGGACAGATTCCTATCAGTTTATGATCTGCCTGTAAGTTTAGAACAGAGAACCAAGTATTATTCTCTTTCCCTTTCCTTTGATATGTTGTTTTACAATGCTGATTGTCTCTATTATTGGTTGTCCCTTTGTTCTTGTGTGCATAGAAAGGTAAAATTTGGACATCACAATTGGTAGCTGTGGCCTGTTTGTCACTATCAACCAAAGTAGAGGAGATAGAAGTGCCTCTCACTGTGGATTTACAGGTGAAGCAAATTAGCAGCAAGAATAATTTGTAGTTATTGTTGAAACAGCCTCGCCCCAGGCGGGGAAAGGTTGCGTACATCTGATCTTAGGTGTTTGAATCACTCTTTTCATTGGTTTATAGGTTTTGCATTAGGTGTTTGATAATTTCTGAATTTCTTTTACACCTTTTCTGCTTATTTCAATCTGATTCCTTTGGTGATGTGGGTTTAGGTGGGAGATCCCAAGTTTGTATTTGAAGGTAAAACAATACAGAGAATGGAACTTCTGGTGTTGAGCACCTTGAGGTGGAGAATGCAGGGTTGCACTCCCTGTTCCTTCATTGACTATTTTCTTAGAAAGATCAATGGCGATCAAATTCCATCAGGACTGTTAGTTTCTAGATCAGTTCAACTCATCTTAACCACAATCAAAGGTCTTTCTTGAATCTTATGTTTGTCATGCATTGATATTATTGTACTATTTGGTCCTAAAATCTTCCAGGGCTTGGTGGGAATTGAATGCAGGCATTGACTTCTTGGAATTCAGACCTTCTGAAATTGCTGCAGCTGTGGCAATGTGTGTTTCAAGAGAAATACAAGTGATAGACATTGATAAGGCACTGCCTTGTTTCATACATGTGGAGGAGGTAACTCTTAGTGGTGCCCACAGACATATTTTCTAGACAAGACAAATTTTCTTTTGCTCTTATCTTTATAAATTCCAAGGAAAGACTACGGTACAGACCTTAGTATTGTACCCAAAGCTATTACAAAATAAAGCTTAGCTATCACTTAATTTAGGTCATGTTACAACCCTAAAAGATTAAGTCATCGTTAAAAAAATATATTGATCCTACAATATTATGGTCATTCCTAAACATTGTGATCGATCATAATATTTTATTTATGATTGATGCTAAAAAACCCTATTTTGTCAATGCTTTGGTAAATTGAATCGTAACCCACCTTTTGTTTTCAATACAGTACTGAAGATTAACCTTTTGGGATTTTAATTTTTCCCACATCTGCACCAAGTTGGTGAACTAATTTATGAATTATGACTTTGTTGTTTGCTGGATGGATTTACAGGGCAGAGTGTTGAAATGTCTTGAACTGATACAAGATTTGGCATTGATTAGTGGGTCTACAAATGTGGCTAATGCCTCAGTTCCATCAGTACCCCAGAGCCCAAGTGGGGTGTTGGATGCTGCTGCATGCTTGAGCTATAAAAGTGATGAGAGAACAGTTGGGTCATGCCCAAATTCTTCACACACTAGTCCAGACACTAAAAGGAGAAAACTTGACAGACCCTTTCAAGAAGATGACTTCAAGTCATGAAATGTGAATTTCAGAGAGAGAGAGAGAGAGGCCTCAAGGCTTTAGCATGAAAAGAATGGTTACCAGCTGTGAATAATCAGAGTTGTCAACCACCATAGTAATAGAAAGGTGGTGGAGGACAAAAATTTGGGAGATCCACATGTTATGGCTAGAAAAAAAACACAGGTTTTGTTGTAGCTACCAAAAGAAAAAGGAAAAGGAAAAATAGGAGAAAAAAAGAGGTGGAGATAAAAGTGATGAGGAGATTTATGATTATTTTTTATTTGTTTTTATGTTCTTCAATGAAATTCAGGCCAGCATCTACCAAGCCCTTTTTGCAACCAATTGTTAAGCAAATGATAGTTCTCTTTTATCTGTCATAATTAAGGTACTCTTATAAACAAACCCTTAGGAAAAAAATTTCAACGTGACATAGCTACGTGGTCTACACACTTAATAAAAAATTATCATAACACTAATTTATCAGATTGACGATGTTTTCTTTTATAAAATTTTTGATAAATTAACAAGTAGTGGCAATTCATTGAGAATGTATAGTATTCTATGTCTGAGTCATATCACCTTGTCGGGCATTTTCAACTTTCACCCTTGAACGAGTGAGATTTATTATATATATATAAATTATTTATCATGAGTTTAAGTGATATAAGTGAGTCTTTCAATAATACATATTTAAGAAGAAAAAACATAAAAAATATGTATATTGGAGTACATGTTGGTTGAAGGGTGATTGTGTGATCAAAGTAGAGGTGTAACTTGGACGGGTCAACTCGAATTCAATACAAGTCCAACTCGAAAAATATAGGGCTTGAGTTAGAATTTTTAATACTTGAGTTGGTTCTGAGCAAAAAAACTCCAACTCGAATTGAATTTGGACAAGCCTCGANTTGGAGTACATGTTGGTTGAAGGGTGATTGTGTGATCAAAGTAGAGGTGTAACTTGGACGGGTCAACTCGAATTCAACTCAAGTCCAACTCGAAAAATATAGGGCTTGAGTTAGAATTTTTAATACTTGAGTTGGTTCTGAGCAAAAAAACTCCAACTCGAATTGAATTTGGACAAGCCTCGAATTGAGAGATCAAGTTGTAGGGTTCAACGCGAATATTAAAATAGGGTTGAACCTGATTATTAAATCGGGTTGAACCCAAATATACATAAATATATAAATATATTTAACTAGGGTTAATATTTATTTTCACTCTTTAGAATCAAAATTTTCACTCCTGCGTTTCCATCACTCTTAAATCCTTATCTCATTCGTCACTCCTTCCTCTCTCAGCCTCCCTCTCTTAATCGTTACTCGTCTGAGTCGTCTCAAACTCTTAGCCTCCCTCTCTCACTCATCATTCCTTATTCTCTCACTCTCTCTCTTCATCTGCGCCTCGCTCTTCATCTCAGATCACTTGAAAAAATCAAATCTACACTTCAAAAAATTAACTCGAATTAAGTAACTCAAATTAATCCAATTTTTAACCCGAAATCAGTCTGAATTAAATAACCCGAATTCAACCTGAGCTCGCTCGAATTCAACTCAGACAGTACTTGGGTTGAATATCTCAAATTGAGGTAGGGTTAAGATTGAAAATTATATATTTAAAGTTGACCTCTCAACCGGCCCGAGTTACACCCTCATATCAAAGACAACTATGATGAGCAAAGCATGATTGAACGACATCGTAAGTGTATGACTCTTTATATAAACGACGTCGTTAAAATTGTTACTCGAGCTCTTTTTTGGATTACAAGCAGAGACAGCCAATCTGGGGCCCCGAGGTTTGTGTTTGTCACTACCTGTGTGACTGGTCAACATCTGGGATTTTTTATCTGCTATGTGCATCGAAAATTATAATAAAAAAATAAAAAATTACTCATAGACTTTCGAGATTTGTCGCTTAAACAATTAAAATCTTTAACATTTAAAATATTATATATAAACTCTTTGAAATTTGAATGCACTTGACACTTACATCCATGTCGTCAATATCCGTTATTATATGTGTTAGGAAATTACATTCAGACTTTTTAAAGTTCATAAGAGTATAATACTTAGACTCCTCAAATTTAAAATATTATATTTAGATTATAAATATTTCAATTAAAAATGAACTATCAAATATTTTAAATTTTATAACCAAAATTCTTGTTTTATTATATTATTTATTTGAATAAAATTAAAAATTAAAATCTAATTTTTTTCTAAAAAAATTATAATTTGTATAGAATTATACTATCATTGGAATAAAAGTAAAAAATCAAACACCAATCTAAGTCATTCCTAATAAAATATAAATTTTACAGCCAAAATTCATGTTCTATTATGTCAGTTATTGAAATAATATTTAAAAAATCTAATTTTTTCTTAAAAATATATAATTAGTAAACAATTATACTATCTATTAGAATAAAACTAAAAAATTAAACAAGGGATCAAAATATAATTGATACAATATCTTCTAACTTTAATTTGAGTAATTTGGTAGTTTAAATTTTGTTATTTAAATGACCAAATTAAATTTTAATAGGTAGTATAATTGTATACTAATTATAATTTTTTAAGAAAAAAATAAATTTTTATTTTTAATTTTATTTCAATAAATGTCATAATAAAATATGAATTTTGATTATAAAATTTAAAATATTTGATATTCTATTTTTAATTGTAGTATTTTTAGTATAAGTATAACATTTTAAACTTGAAAGGTTCAAGTATTATATGTCTATAAATTTCAGGGGGTCTGGGTATAATTTACTAACGAATATTAACAGCGAACGATAGGGGTATAAGTGTTATGCATATACAAATTTCAGGAGATCTGTGTATAATTCTCCCTAAAAATTAACATTACAATTTACATTTATAATATTTTGATTTATTTTAGATCAAATTATAGAATGCAAAATAAATAAATAAATATATAAAATTAAGTTACTAAGAGAAAAAAAATGGGACCAAAAGAATGATGAACAATCGAATTTTAAGAACTCTCAATTTTAAGACGTGTAACTTTATATCTTGTCATTTAATTGACAATGAAAGGTTTGTTTGGATGACACGGTTCAATTGAATTGGACATCTAAAAAAATATTATTTTTTATCTAATTCAAACTCAATTATCATTAAATTGGTTATGATTTAATAGCTATATCTTATCATTTTTAGTGTTTAGATAATATATAAACACTTCTGTAGGATCCATGGACACAAATGATGGAATATGATATCATTGAATGCTTTGCCCCTAATCTATCGAATCCAATATTATGTTTGGTTTATAAATTAGTTTTTTATCAATTCCAAACAATTTTTTTTTAGATGTAATTTTTAAGAATGTTGTAATTTCATATTTTCTAGATGAGTGTTTATATGTTACGAGAACAATTGATAATTAACTAAAGCTCTTATAAATTAGTTATTTTATTATTAGTTATTAATTAATCTTAGTCCAAATAGAATATTATTTTATTAGAATTAGTTTATTATTTAAATTCGTTGTCTTGTCAAAAAAGACATTTTGGTCTTCTCGAAATATGTTGACTGAACCTTATTTTCACAAAAAAAATGAGACAAAGTAAATGAAAGAGAGAAAGAAGAGGACATGATAATTCAGTCATTTGCATTAGTTATCCTCTTTAGCAAAAAAAATTCCAACTCCCCTGGGTTTCATTTAACCCATGTAAATTGATTAAAATTAACCTTTTAAATTGGGTTGGGATAAAATCCAAATGAAATTTTTGATGTATTTCTTACATTCCAAATGTGGGATATATGACCCCCACATATTTTTTTATGAATCATTATTTAATTTACTACTTAATTGCAAAAAAGTACTCAGTACAAAATATTTTGTATAGAAATAATTTTTTTTATGACAGAAATGTCAATGAGGTAACAACTATATGGCACAAAAAGTAAGGAAATTGTCATAAATCATGTAACAATCCTATTAAATTCGACAACTGCTATATACCTCAAAACATAGGTTTTCAAAATTTTTTAAAAAAAATCTACTACAAAATCCTTCAATTTTCAAAAAAAATAAAATAAACACTAACGTTGAAACATAATTGAATACCAATCTTTCTTTTGTTTCGATTCAAATTGTCGATAATGTGACATTACAGTGATACACGATTGTGTAATACCTTCATTAACGTTTTAATCATCGACAAATAAAATTATGAAATTACATTTACTGATTCATACACAATCTAAATAGTATGCATCATATAATATGACATCTATATATATTACATTTAATGAATGACAATGTTACATAATAGTGGACATTACAAAATGACATTGTTGTTAGATTTGAGAACAACCATAACTGTTTAACATTAAAAAATAGTATACAAAAATAAATTTCAAAATCTAAGCCAAGTTGTTAAGGTATATTCCATATGATATAATTTTGAATTTTAAATATATTCAATTCCTTAAAATATGAAACAATTAATATAATAAATCAAATCCCATTAAAAATGAGACTCTAAAACTAATAGGTCTTCAAATAAGGAAAAATGTATTTTAGTGAAACATATATTTGAATATTCACCAATGAATACTTAACTACAATACATTTTAAGCAAATGATATTTATTTACAAAAAAATTTTGTAAAGATATTTTCTCACAATTAAGTAGTTTAAAATATACCTATTCATAATTTTTCATTTTTTGTTATCTTATTCTACCAATTATCCTCTTTTAATCCGTGATCCAACACATACCCCAATCAACTAGTATGCAAAAAATTTTATGGAATTATTCCCCCATCAAATGTACCAAAAGAAATAAGAAAAATTGGAATCCCGAACATGCCCCCCCTAACTCCCCCCTCTCTCGCTCTAACACACACCCATACTAAGTGATAAGATTTTATAAATGGGACTATTACGGTACCAAATTTTTTTTTGATACCGTACATCTAAAATTTATTATAATAATAGTTATTTTTATAATTAAAAAAATTATCACTTTTTTATATATTTTTATCACTATTATGAGTTTTTTTTATCATTGTTTTAAT